GGGGGGGGGGGAGGAGAGGAAGATCTGGTGTGTCAGGACATCTGCTTGCAGCAGACGATGTCTGTTGTTGCAGCAGAGGCATGCATGACAGCAGGTCCGAATCGTGTTATCTCACCACCATCATGGTGTTGCTGACCATGTGCAGTGTGCACAGTAGACCTGGGAACATGAGGGGAGAAAATTCTGGTGTGTTAGAGATGTCTACACCCAGCTGACGGTGTGTGTCGTTGCAGTAGAGACGTGCTTGAGAATAATTGATAGTCCATGTTGACGCATCATCATGGTGTCATCGAGTGTGCATACTGCGGAGAGGACACTGAGGCATTGACATGCGCAGAGGGAGTAAGCGGAGAAAGAAGTATCCATGATCCTGCGGAGTTCCGGAGAGAGATTGGCTGTGTGCGCATTCTGCCTGAGTGGCATTCACCAGTCTGAGGTTGGCATCTGCTAGAGAGAGATATGCCCGCCAGCCAATCATACATACTTAGTACTTACCTTTTTGGTCTTCAAATTCAGTAATTACCAATTATTACTGATGACTACAGTGATTAGTCAGTAGAATCCTTGCATATCCAATTACTGCCAAGGGAGCTTTTCCATCCTTCGATGGCTCTTCCAGTGTTCCTTACTACTCCTTCAAGTCAAGTCTGTACCAGCTTCTTTCACACACCAGATGGTATCATCCCAGGTTCTGTGGCAGACATGGTCTGTACCAGGTGTGCACCAAGTCTACATCAGGTCTACTTCAGGTCTACTTCAGGTCTGTACCGGGCTTCTCCACTTGCCATGCAGGGCTATGTCTGGTCTGCATGACTACGTTTGTGTGTTCCAGCGGCACCAGGCGGCCGTACACTGCATCTGTTCTGTACCAGCTTCTTCATCCAGCTGCCCTCCAGGTCCACTCCATGTCAGCAGCTGTACCGGTGGCCTGCTGTAGCAATGCATCAGTTGCGATCAGCTGCCTGCAAGGTCCTCTCCCTGTGCTGAGATGCACCAGCTGCCTGCGATAGCAGCTGTGCCAGGTCTATAGCAGCAGCACCGATCGCATGGCATGCTGCTGCCATATACCACGTGTATATCAGCTTTTGTGTGTGCCAGCCAGGTCTGCTTCAGTCTGTACCGATGTCTTCCAGGTACACCAGGTTGCTACGTTATGCGAGAGTTGTGTACCAGCTTCATCCATGTGCCTGGTCCTCCAATGTGCTGTCCTGTGATGCACCATCTGTCACTCGGTTTCCGTCCACAGTCCCAGGTCTATACGGTCACATAGTACCGTACCGTCCTGTGATGTACTCGCTGGATTACTTTCTGATGCCGGCAACAGGTCCCTCTCCACGCACTCTATGACTAAAACATTGCTACCTACTCAACCCCAATATCACAGTCATGCGGACTCCTGCCTACTCAATGGCATTGCTACTACGACTGTAGACTTCTTTGTAAACAGGTAATCTGCACAGCCCGACCTGGAAGAGTACTTGGTACTCTGTTGTTAAGCACTCTGGGAGTTGTGGATGACAGACAGAAGCTGGCCAAGCAGCAGGAGCACACCCTGTCCTTAGATGCCCTGTGCGGACTGGAGAGTGGACATGATGCATGAGATTGCCGATTGGGGGACATGATGCATGAGATTGCGGATTGGGGGGTAGTCGGAAAGAGGCATTAACAGTTGGATTTGCTAAGGTATGGCAAAGACATTAGCATGGAGTGGTGTGAGAAGAGGGAGCTACAAGGAGATAGGAAAGACGAGCGAGAAGGTTTTCTTTTTTCTTTTTCTGTGAGACAAAAGATATTATTGCTAGGCATACACGTACACAGAACTTAGAAATGAAAAGTAACTAAAGAACACTTAGCGACGGTTGTTCACCGGAGGTCGAAATATTTTAGAACTTGTACTCACCAGAGGGTAAGGAGAGGTAGATTGTTTAGAATAGAGAAGGAAGGAGAGTATCAGTTCCTGCTATTATTTTCGAAGTTCCAAGTTCAAACAGTAATGTGCTGATGACCTATTTCTTTTTAAAATGTAATAAGTTACTAATAACATAATAACTTAATAAGTTTAATAACTCGCTTTTTTTTTCCAAGGAGTAACGACTTGACCACGTGGGGATGAGTGTGGTGGGGTACATCATGTCACTGAGCAAACTGTGTTGGGGTGTGGTGCCCACTTAGCCTGTTGCTTAGGTGTTTGCATGACAAGCGGTTGGTTGTGTGTTCGATGCTTGGAGGGGACATGCATCCTCCCGAGATCCGCAATCATTTTCTTTCCAGAATAGGCATATGCTTGGCAAGCTCCTCTGCTGGCTGGTGTTTATGCCTCGTGCCCTCAAGGGGGATGTCAATGTTATGCATTCATTCATTAATCATTTAACGGACATTCCCAAAAAAGCAAAAAGAAAACACTTCTCCATGATCGATAGGGCTATAGCCTTCTCTGGCAAGGCTTTCCAACCTTTTGTAATTTGCTTGGATGGTTTTTTCACGTGTTTGCTCACCACTGCTAACGGAGTTCTGATTGATGCACTTTCCTTTAGCTACTTCGATGTTTCAGCTTGCTAGCTTGTTAGACACTCCTCGGGCGCATAAATCCCCCGAGGAAAATTTCGTTCCACCTATCCTCGGGGATGAAAACAAAAAAAAAAAAGTGAAAAAATTTCCTTGGGGAATCCTGGGGGCGTCCTCGGGCTACAGCCATTTGGCGGCATTCCCCAAGGGACCTCCCGAGGTCCCTTGGAGGTCAAGTATCCGTGATCATCGGAGTGGTGAGGGCACCCGTCGTCGGCAAGAAATTTTTGTCGGCTGGGCCATTGGAGTTCCTACCGGGCAGGTGGCCGGCCGGCCCCTGCGGATGCCGTCGACCAGTGTTCTCCCTCACAGTGCGTGCCGGCAAACGGAAAGGGGTTGAACGGTCGGCAAATTTGAATACTTCAGCCCACCCCCCTTGGTACGATTGCCCGCTGTATTCCGCAACGAAAAACGTTACAAGGCGTTTGTCCCATGCTGTGGTCTGCTGTTTGCAGCCCTCTTCGTCGCTGATTGCTGGAGGTGTATCGCCGTCGTCTAGCTACTGCCCTTCCCCACTTGCCTTTCATGGTCGACGTCTTTCGAAGGTTGTCGCTGCTGCTCCTGGTCATCCTTTTGCTTGTCGTTGTCGTCTTCTTCCACGTCTGCATCCTCGGCAGGGTGCCTGGACGTACACGTAAGAGGCGGTCTGCGAAGAAGGACGTCGGCATGGACGGGCGGCAGGCGAAGAGCAGGTCTTTAGTGGACCAGTCCAAAAGCCACCGTGCAGGCCACGGCCCGGCTCGTAGTGCAAGGGTGTACGACCCGTTAGAGTGTGTGTGTCGTATGCTGTCCTCTACTGTCTGCTCCCTTCATCGTCGCCGTTCGGCGGGCGTTCGTCCACACTGGATGCAATCGCCATCGCCCGAAAGACACGTGGCGACATACGCAGCTTCTCCCAGAAGTACTCGTCCGTAGCATCATCGCATTGCCTGAGATCCTCCTACGCCCCCCCCGTCCTCCTTTTCATCCACCACCTCGGCGTCGCTCGTGGAAGAACATTGTAACCCATGGCACAGCAAACCCGAATTGCAGCCTCGGTGATGGCCACAATATCCAGCCCCTCGACCGGGACTTGATGAAGCGTCTTCCTCCTCCGCACACGGATTTGCGCTTTCATTTTGCCCAATGCCCTCTCTTGCTGACAACAAAAAAGCGTGACCGTCTTCTCGATCGTTGTCAACTTCGCACGTCCGTCGCCACTGCCGCCCTCCATCGACACGTGTGTTGCAATGTTCCTGAACCATGAAAATACAACAGCCTACCAACTCGCCACGACCACAGTAACCTCAGCGCCAAGTCCTAGACAACGTTCCCCGCATGTGCTCGACTCAACACATAGGCGCGGCGGCATGCAGAGGCGATGGTGATGGTGATGGCTATGGACCTTCATGGGGCACTCACAAATTTGTGACGACGTACGAGGACTCCATTGCGCCGCTGCAAATGCCAATTTCCACCGTCGCAGATATGGACGCCACCTGCCCCGTGTCGCTGTCGTGACATCCAACACCCAATTTGAAATTTTCGAACGGGGAGGTTCATTGCTTTTTAAGGGTTTTTTTTCCCGGTCGTCAACGCATTTCAAAATTTCCTGCCTTCGGCGGCTAGACCACACCGTAGCAAGACAAACATCACCCAATGGACCAAGGCATTCCCCCCCCGGCGACCGACTATAATATTATGAAAATGGTCGCCGGCGGCTGAAAGGAATCATCCTTGGGAGACCACGCCAAGCATAGGTGGAACGACGACGAGAGTTTCTTTCAAAACCCCCAAGGAAACTTCCTTCGTCCCCGAGGACGCCCCAAGGAGTGTCTAAGGAGCCCCTAAGTCAACTTCGTTGCCGTTTTCTAATGTGACGCCCATGGATCAAAGGCAACTTCTCCCCATGGTGTTTCTCTTTTCATTTCGTCCTTTCATTCTTAGCCTAAGGCATGCACCCAATGCATTATTTTGGATATAGCAAGGCCTTTTGCGCCCTACTTCTCACTTGTTGATATCATATTATAGAGTAGTATTGACTGATAGAGCCTAGGCGAGCCGTCGGGGTGTCGCTGCCATATATTGGTTGCCTTTTTTTTTAATGGGACTTTGCTCCAATCTCTTAACGGGGATCCTCATGTGCTGACAACCGGGTTCAACATCTATTTCGCAAAATATCCGACAGCCTAAAGTTTCCCAACTATTTGCTACTCGCATTAGACTATTATCCGATCGCTATATCTATGATTTCATAACAAGTCGCGAATTTGAGACGATATCACAAACAATCAACGTATCGGTATCAATCTCGATGTTACATCCATCGATAAACATACATTCTTTTATAACAAAGTAAAAATTTCGCGAAATATTCCTTTTAATGAGTGAGGATTTTCAAAGCAGAGAAGTTTTCGTGAGAAAAGGAAGCACTAACATTTTGGTTGGTCACACACGAAATAATTGCTTGTAAATTATAAATGTTTGATTTGAAGTCAATAAAAACATAATAGGATATATGATTTTTTGTAAGTAGATATTATTAGGCATGCATATGCATGACATTAACGAAAGCAACCCTCGACTGACTTTTTGTGACTAGGTTTAATATTTTTAGAATTTGCATTTTTTTCGCTTACAGTATGACAGTGCATAAAACGAATCATATTTGAACATGTGTTAAAAATCACCACAATAACACCGATATGAATAATTTATTGTTGTTTCATGTAACTAACGTTTCACTACTAAGATACAAAATTATTTCACCTTAAGATTTATTCATTTATTATGAAAATATATTCGAATGTATACTAAAAAAACGTTTAACCAATTGGCCTACCTTTGTACATCTATAAACTGTTGAATATTGATCCCAATTCGAATCCCATTGAACTTAAATGACTAATTAACTACGAATTCACTTAGGGTCGGTCAACTTAGGTCGTTCCCCTTTTTATAACCGGAAATAAAAAACCTAGCCTCTCAATCATATAAATGAAATTCAAATATACCAAACACCTTTTGTGATAATTTATATGCGATTATCCAGATTCTGATGTTTCGCAGAAAACCTTCAAGATCATAGTAAACCTGAACGGGTTTTTTGTAACTGTGAATCCAAATGCCTAGTAAAGAGTCAACTCCATACCGAAAAAGTTGTTTGGAATGTTTACACACATGTGAGTCTCATTCAAAGAGATCGTAAATATGAGAATTATAGTAAATTTAAAGTAAAATATACTACCGACTCTGGTTCGGAACAGAAGAACTCAAAAAGTTTCTTCGAATTATCTTGTCATATATTCCTGTTCAAAGTATGCTAAGAAAAACGATGTTGCTTTACAAAGATGCTAAATTTCAACAACGCTGGATCTCTGAGATGAAATTATTGAATCCTAGGATGCATTACATCCGCTTCGCAGATGATTTTCTAGTAGCAATCTCTGGTCCACGATCAGAAGCAGTGAAACTGAGATCTGAATTGGAGTTCCCTAGAGACAAACTTCAATTAACACTAAGTATGGACAAAACCCATATTACCCATGTATCGAAAGGAGTACATTTCCTTGGCCACAACATATGTCCAACATTTAGGTTATTAAATAATAATAAATAATATTGACGAATTTTCAATTTCGATATTTTTAAATAATATTTCATAGTGTGTACACTACATGGTCATACCGAATAAGATAACAAGATTTTCTCAACCTACATGTGCTTATTCGCCGAAGTGTACAACATTTTCAATATCTGCAACAATTTCATTTATTGTTTACCATTAATGCAATGTAGAGTATCTATATTTTTTAATGGAATAAAACCTCTACATATAAATATGATAGATGCCGAAAATTATGATAGAACACACAAAAAACGATATCTCAATTGATTAATATCTACAACATTGAACCCTATGTCAGTCATATGTTGTACTTAAACCACTAGTACCTCCCCCAGTGTTAGGAAATTACGAGGTTTTGCTAGTTCCTGAAGAAATCGGGGGTGGGACAAAGGGTCGACATTATCCCATAAATCCGATTTTTATAGTGTCCGCAAGTGAAAGAAAAAGGGCAAAAAAAATGCTTTGTCTAGCAATGATGACTGGCAGGGTAGTCCAGGAGGCCGTGCTCACAGTCTTCGTCTACAGAATGCACCTCACAGGCAAGGCGGTCACATTTTTAACGTTACTGTTTTCTTTTTTTTTGTCGTGTGTTTTTTATGAGTCCCCTGCCAACAAGGCAGGGTGGAATCCGTGATCTGCTCATGCTGTCTGTGATCTGCTCAAGCTGTGTTTTGTCAAAGGATTGTAACGCTCATCACACTGGCACTTAGGAAAATATATCCAACCATTTTCACGATTGGATCCGTGTGTCCGTTTTTCTTTCCTTCTGTTCTATTTTTCGAATCTGACAACCATAGGGTTGAGATGCCCTCATTGAGGGCACACTCACACTACC